AATGCTTAAGTATTCCAATAGGCTGCCAATCCAACGTGGAATTTTTTCAAAATAATGCTTAATAACAAAGTTGAAATTCGATCTTCAACTGTTAAAATCTTCTAGAAATTTTATAAAAACAAATTTTTAATTTTTTTCTGGTACTCCCCAAGGGAGCCTCTATCACCCCTTAAAAGGAATGACGCCAATTTTGAATCACCCTGTAGTGCTTTAGCGCGACTATAGCTTTGGAGTGCCCAGATGCAACATACGTTTATAATGCCATTTTTTTGAAAACTTAAAACTAATTTCAACTCAGTTCATTTTTTTTCCGTAGTAGGTATTAACCATGCATCCGATAAAATGATGGGCACATACCTACATAGAACATCTTTGGTTACTTGAGAAACTGCGGTTTATGGCACGATCATTCAGTTTTCATAGATAATTATGTCTTTCTTGAGTACTTATGTCTTTACAGTCTTGGCGCGTTGATCAGAATCATTTAATGCATCCTCATGTGGAAATGCCAGCCCTGTCCGTTGAAATTTCTCGCCCTTTTGAGCTGAACCCGATGGGGGGATAACTACATAAATACATAACATAACCGAGAGTAGTCTTAAAGTCATGGTGACTGGATTGGGGATGAAATCGTGCGTGAAACATATGCCTGTCAAGTGACACGCGCCATATAATGACGCAATAATGTATTGATACAGAATGCCACCCCCGAATAAGAAGCGGAATTTTCGACTCGATGAAATGTCTCGGGGGGATGGAGTATTAGTTGTATTTTGTTCACGTAGCGGGCGCAGCTTAATAAATCATTTTTAAACGCCGTTGGGGAGGTTTAATGTCTGCCGATCCACGATCATGGGCTTGTTAGCATTATTGTTCTAACTGGATGAAATCTGGTCTCAACCATTTTTTGTGCAGGGTGATTCAGGCTTAATCTTGATAACTTCAGCTGTTCTATGGGCAGATAGCATCCTTACGGGATATAAAAAATTAGCCGTATCGTTTCGAAGAGAGGTAGATGGCATTAAAATAAAAAATCCCAGTTCTCCCTCATAACTTTGTACGGCTAATCCGATTGAGATAATTCACCCGGTTTGCTTAGAAGTGATTTTAATGTGCAACCCGCACTTCTTTTGCTTCAAAACTTTTACATCGAAAATGTATTTCAATAAAACACCTGCACAGGTTTATTCGTTGATTCAATTGAAACTTTTTCGTCTCTTGGATTGTTTTGAGATTTGTTCTTGTTTCTGTTCACCCAAGTTTCATTTAAACCTGCAATGAAAACGTTCCAAGATTTGTGTGAACTGAATAAGTTTGTGAAAAATATTTGCTACTCATTAGAAGTGTTTCGGGCCGAATTTCACGTTAATCGTATGAGTAGGATTTTTAAAATATTTAAAGTTATCAACATTAAATAGGAGCTATCCTGTATGTGAAACCAATAACCGATTTTGTGTGGAATAAACTTCAAAAGAGTGTGTTTAGTAGCAAAAAAACTCGTGGACAAATATTGGTTTTCAAAAGTGCAGGCAAACAGAGCACAGTTGATGGTATGCTAGATTCAGTTACCCCCCCACCCAACTCGTTAGATTTCGGGGGCGGCTCCCCATTAATTGTCTAGGGGGAAAATCGATTGTGGCGGCGCCCAATTAGGTCACAGGATGCTCCCCATTTGCCGGAAATGCACAGTTCGTCACCTGGACTGGATAATCGACTGCTCGCATTTCCAGGCCGACATTTTTCAGCCCGTCTGATTCGTCTGGATCGTTCACGTGTGCGGGATGAAATGAATCGATTCGTCGGCATTTTCAACTATATTTTTATATAATAAATACAGTAACATTTATATTTTTATGACTACATTGCCATCTGATAACCCTGACTATTCTATGCGTCTTACTACTAACATTCAGGTTTAGTACTGGCTATGACTAGTTTCGACTATAATACTTTCTATGATATTTATGTGGTAACGACAGTTCTTTTGCCCTTGACAGTCTAAGTAGGCTGGATTGACGACATGTTTGTCCTTTAGTAGTTGAAGGGTTTGGGAGTGAGTGAGTAGGATAAAACATTGTTTTGATTAAATTTCCTGTCTGCCTCTGAGGTTTTTCCCAAAAAGTTTCTCATATATTACAGCGGGTTTATAGACTATCAATAACGCAATATTTACAACAACGGTTCAGATATTCATGTATGTACAAGCGTAAAGAAAATTCATCGAAAGGAACATAAACTGGGCAAATCCGTGGACTGAAGAGTTCCACATTAGCCTGCAAAGTACTGCAACATATGCTCCACTGTCCACGGGATTTCAGGGGCAAAATCACCGAAAAACCCTGTGGACAGTCGAACAGTCACATTCAAAATACGTAAAATGTTTATCACAGAGTCCGCCAGACGGCTTGTGTTAGTCCTCTTTACACATTTCAAATTTACTACCACTATTTACAACAATTCGTCCAAATTGCACGATTATTCTTTAGAAAAAACTTGTGTGAATTGCTGTTCTATACTTACCCCCCCGGCGCCCAGGTGCTTTTGGATGGGATTCCATACCAGCACTTTATACAGAGTGTTTCAAATGAGTCCATGAGTCGATTGTGACGAGGGCAAACACATCCAGAATCACCACGTATGGGCAAACAAGGGGGTTATTGCGCAACACGGCATTACGCCGCTATTAAACCAATGAGAATGAACCCGACCAGTTCAAATCGTCAGTTTCCGGCTCCATTCGGCTGTGGTGGAGGCAGGCCCCGGAGTCGGTCATGCGTAATGCGGATAACTGCCCAACGGTGGCGCCCCCAAATGCGGGGCGGCATGGTGCCCAATCGAATGGGTACTGGCCGCTATGTTCGAGTACAAGTTGGCGCTGGGACTGTTCCAATACGATCCTGGCGACGGAAAAATCGACGCTGAAACACACACAAAATATTTCAAAATAGCGCCGCGTAGCAATTGAGGTGGCGTTGACAGTTTGACAGTTTCAAGAGCACATCCAACACAATTTGCATCAACACTGAAGTGGCATTAGCCCTTAAACCAACACTGCCCTTGATGTTTAAGGGTTGACGCCAGCGTTGCCATGTCTGCTTAACGTTGGGGTGCTTTCAGTATTTTAATGACGTTTCTAGAGGGGCTCTTTGATTTAAATTGAGATATACTGGGTGGTTGCATTGCTGGGGACCAGTCGTGCTATCGTTTAAGCCGTTAGGGGTACAACTTCGGTCAAATTATACAGAAGTTGTCAAATTTGGACATGTGGCGTGCTCGAGACACTGTTGCCCAGTTTTGATGAGTTTCGGAAATGTTGGGAAAAAACTAAAATTACTGTTTTGGGCAAATACATCGAAAAGTAAGGGTTGCCAAAAACGTAGTTTTTAAGGCTCTCTTTGATATAAAATTTAACAAAATAACCCGTTTTGTTCAAGAGACATTGACACCAGCTGCATATTAATTACCGATTTCAACTCTTCCACGCCTTTAAATCCGTCGACGTTTTCCTCGAAAATTTATTGTTCCGGCAGTTAGAATGGTTTTTGTGTAGGCACAACAAATACACTGTAGTTTAATGTATGTCTAAATAGATTACAGCATCCAGAAAGGTTTCACGGATTTTCAAAAATTATAATTTGACCCTCGACGTGAATTGTAAGTTTGACTCCTAGCAGTTGGACCACCCTATCGTTGAATAATTAAGTCTGAATGTGCCCATAAACTACTCGCAGATAATTCACTATGTTAGTAACAAATTCAACAACATTAACGAAAAAACAGCACCATGTTGGCAACCGTGATCAGATCGCTGAAAGGAGGGTGCATGTGTAATTAGCATATTTATGGGCTAAACTACATGCCGGAACAAGTGCGATTTTTGCAAAGCCATTTTTATTCAATAAATAATTCCGTCTACAGTCCCAAGTGGACGCAGAGTTGAACTGTTTTAGCAAGTTTAAATAATTTTGGCTGAAATAGGCGAAATTAATGAAACAAATGGCAACTCTCTTGTGCTCCTTAAACGCCCGTAAACCTCGTTGAAATTCAAAAGGGCCACTCATATTTATTCAGACTATATCCACTCCGGGCATTAAAAAATAATTATAACAATTCGCGAGGCTTAATGGGGCCGAAGCTCGGGGTCTTATTTAACACGTCCTTGGCCGTTCCGTGCCTAATGACGTAATTCGTTGATTACGCATTGTTTTCCACCCCCAGACGGCGACCCGGCATCATTACATGTCATTTAATCAACCCCCCTCTCGAATCAGGATATTGTTACTGACTGCTCCTGCTCTATCCGATCTATCGGGTGCAATCAACAGTTTTTCGATGTTTTGCAGCCTGCCTTATTCAGGGTTATCCAAAAGTCACGCAGCAAATTCCTGCCGTGTTGCATAGAGGAGGTTTCCAAAAATACTTATCCAGGACTTTTTACTTTTGTTCTCCTGTAAAGTCATTTTCCCTGTCGGTGCCTGAAGACAAATTCCTAGTTTCAGCCTACCGCATTTTCTTAAAAAATCGCATTTCCAAATAAAAGTGACTAGTGCCCGCTTTTTTCTAAAAAATCAGTCCGCAGGATTTCAATGAAATTTCGACTTCAATTTTTTGCTGTTGTGCAGCAAAAAAACCAATATGTGATCGTCCCTGGTACAGAAACGCATAGCGTCGATTTATTGGCACATCTAATGGATATTCCGTACACTGTCCGAATTGCGGGACGCATACAACGTCCTCTGGGACTTTTTATTGCCCGAGGCGAATTTGTTGTTTCCTTTTGTTTCGGAGGTTATTTACGACCCGATCTCGGTCGGCTAATTGGTAATTTGTTGTTCTTCGACCGCATCAAAGGGCCGTTTGGTTTTATTCGATTAATGGATTTGGCTGGGGATCGCGTCTCGATGTTCAAGTCAAAGCGCCCAGAGCTTCAGTTCAAAGAATCAAAAATCACTAATAATACTCACCGGCCGAACTGGGAATGGTGGCATGCGGGCCCATAAATCCGCCCAATTTGGCGCTGTGGTGGTACGAGCTCATGAAGAACTCGCTCTGGTACTTGTAGCTGCTTGGATCGCTGGAAGCTGGCTGCGTAGCAGCCGCTAGCCCTTGAAAGTCGAACTTGTAGGCGTAGCGTTTCCCGTGCACTTTGGTCATGATGTTTTTGTCGTAGTAATACCTGCAAGACCCCTCAATTTTTCAAATTGCAATTAGCCTGAACTATCCCAAGGGATAACCGAATTAGACGGTGCGGTCTTTTCCTTGTTTTTTTTGGCAACGTGATTGTTGCCATAATCGAAAATTACTGGGCCGATTGTGCTCCCCGATGGACGCTTAATCGACTGTTGAACTGCTTTTTTCGACGCCAGATTGACTTTTAATAGAGTTACCGAACGCAATAACGGCGGGTCAATAGGGGGACAGTATCGAAATGCTGCCATATTTTCATCGACGGGCGCATTGTGAGTGTGAAAAGGTGACTTTGTCCTCGATTGAGGTTGTTGTCACTCACTTACCTCAATGCTCTACTGAGCTTGTCGTAGTTCATGTTCGGTTTTGATTTGCGCTCGCCCCAACGGCGCGCCACCTCATCAGGATCGGTCAGCTTGAACTCTCCATTTGTGCCCTCCCAAGTTATGCAGGCGGCGTTCGAAGAGTCGCTGAGCAATTCCAGCAAGAACTGCCATAGCTGTATCTGACCTGACCCTGTAATTTACAGATCAAGTGAGCTCAGACCGGGTATTTCTATAAATGAGTCAATGATGGCTTGCGTAAACTAGTACATGATGGGATAAATTGCTTGTTTATATGGGTTACTTCGGAACGCATCGCACACATAAAAAAACAGCTAGGATATTATAAGCTTGATTTTTCTGAGAGAAAAATTGCCCTTTACAATATCTCCTTTATCACTTTGTTTATGAGGTACGGGGTAAATCTGAAAAATTGCTGACTTCAACTTTGCCTTTTAGCAGCGGCAATCCAATTATGGCAAATATTAACCATTTCCTCTACACCTAAATGTAGCTGATAGATAGATACATTTACTCTATTGACGCTGAAAATGTTGTTTCCATCGAAGTTTCTGTTAATTGTGGGCAAATTTTTACACTTTGGTGTTTATCAATGACTAAATATCGACGGTTTGTATACTCACTTTCAACAATTTTTGTTTCACATCCAATTGAGTGAAAGATATGCTGATTGTTTGACTGGATAAAGCCGATTTTCCTTTATGGGGGTTGAAAGTTTTACTTTTATTAGATTTTTTGCGCAATTTGGGCGCATTTTTTCACTTTGGTGTGCTTTGGTGTCTGGAAACCGACGTCGGCTTGCACACTCAGTTTCAATAATTTTTTTCTCGAAAATTAGTTGAAATGGAAAGATGCCAACTTCGCCATTAGAGGCCAGTTTACTCTACTGGTGCCGAAATCTTCACTTTCATTAAAAATTATGCTGAATTTTAGCCAATTTTTATTGTTTGCGTGCTATGATGTCTATCTCTAAGCGTCCACTATTTGCAACCTCACTTTCAATATTTTTTTTCTACAAAACCAATTGATATTTAATTGTGCTGAGTGCTTCACTATATAGAGGAGATCTTCGTTTATTGGAGCAGATAGTTTCGCTTTTATTAGAGTTGTTTCACAATTTGTGCGAATTTTTCCACTTTGTTGTGCTTTGGTGTCCGGAAACGACGTACGTTCACAAACCCAGTTTCAATAATTTTTACTCGAAAACTAGTTCAAATGGAAAGATTCCAATTGCCCCACTGGATAAAGACAGTTTGCTCTATTGGGGCTGAAATCTTAATTTTCAGTAATATTTTTTAGAAATTTGGGTAAAATTTTCATTTTTGTGTGCTACGGTGTCCCTAAACGTCCGCTATTTGCACCCTAGCTTTCAATATTTTTTTTCTACAAAACCAATTGAGATGGAATCGTGATTATTGCTTCACTGTATAGAGGAGATCTTCGCTTATTGGAGCCGAGAGTTTCGTTTATATTAGAGTAATTGCGCAATTTGCGCGAAATTTTTCACTTTGGGGTGCTTTGGTGTCTGGAAACGACGTCGGTTTGCAAATCCAGTTTCAATAATTTTTTCTCGAAAACTAGTTGAAATGGAAAGATGCCAATTGCGCCACTGGATAGAGAATATTTTGCTCTATTGGGGCGGAAATCTTAATTTTCAGTAATATTTTTCAGTTATATTAAATTTTCATTTTTGTGTGCTACGGGGTCCCAAAACGTCCACTATTTGCCCACTCGTTTTTAATATTTTTTTTCTACAAAATCAATTGAGATCGAATCGTGCTTATTGCTTATAGAGGAGATCTTCGTTTATTGGAGCCGACAGAGTCGCTTTTATTAGAGTTGTTTCGCAATTTGTGCGAATTTCTTCACTTTGGTGTGCTTTGGTGTCTGGAAACGACGTCGGTTTGCAAACCCAGTTTCAATAATTTTGAAAACGAGTTGAAATGGAAATAAGCCAATTGTGTTACTGAATAGAGAACACTTTACTCTATTGGGGCCCGAATCTTTGCTTTTATTAGTAATTTAGCTAAATTTGAGCGAGTTTTTTATTTTTGCGTGCTTTGATGTCCCCAAACGTTCCCCAATATTCGCAAACTCACTTTCAATAACTTTTTCTCCAAAACCAACTGAGATTAAATCATGCTGAGTTCTTCATTGCATTGACCACATTTTCCGTTATTGCGGCTGAAAGCGTCACTTCTATTATAATTTTTGCGCAATTAGGGCGAATTTTTCACTTTGGTGTGCTTTTGGAAGCAACAGCTGTTTGCAAGCTCACTTTCAATAATTTTGTTCTCAAAAACTAGATTAAATTTAAACATGCCAATTACGCCACTGGAAAGAGAACACTCTACTCTTTTGGGGAGAAAATCTTCACTTTCATTAATATTTATGCTGAATTTGAACGAATTTTTCATTTTCCTGTGCTTTGGGGTCTCCAAACGTCCACTATTTGCAAACTCACTTTCAACTATTATTCGTTCACCATCAATTGAGATTGAATGATGATGATAGCTTCACTGAATAGAGCACGTCTTACTTTATTGAGCGCAAAAATTTCGGTTTTTTCACTTCGGAGTGCATTTAAAGTGAAACTGAACAATTGAACAGCGTTCCTCAATTGAACATCGGTTTTCTGCAATCATCCAGGCCTCAGAAGCAACGATTGGGGCCGACTTGGGCTTGAAGGAAACAAGCACCAGGTTTCTGCCTGATAGTTTACGAGTTTCTTTTGATAAGAAATCAGACCTTAACGAGAAAAACGTCATTGATGGATGCCAATAAAACATTGTTGCAATATTTCTGAATTAGTTTTTGGCAAATATCTCAGTTTTTAGTGAAGCTAGTTGTCTCCTGCTACTTTTTATGTATTCTCTGAATGCTCCCAGACAGCACCTCCAAATAAATGGTCAATCTTGATTCACCCTGTAGGGTTGTATGAATGTAAGTGGTTCTTACAATGCAAGGCCGTCTTAACATGCACTGTGACTAGATTTTCCAAATTTCCCACGATATGACCCGCCTTGGAACCGACACGAGCAGGTCGCACGTGTGGAAACAAAATCCGAACTACTCAAAAATAGCAAAAAACAAATGACTAAAGCGGGCGCCACGTGTCGCCTTACCTGCACCTGTAAATATCGGGGGTGGCCTGGGGGCGGTCGACCGTGAAACAAAAGCCAAACGGTGTCATTAGCCGCAGGGTTTTCCCCCATTTTTTAAACATAAATCTGAGAACCACGCCCTTGTTCCCCCCGGGCACGTGATTTTGTTGACCGGCCTTTAATGACATTTAAATGAGTGGTAATTGCTTTTTTGTTTTGCCAGTGACTGCGGCATGGAGGGGGAGGACTGGCAAATGGGTTTTATTGCCAGCCAGGGAATGAATGGAATGCTAAAGTGGGAATTTAGGCACTTCTGTGAGAGGGAGTCGAATTTTTGGTGATGGTCAAAATCGAATAATTGAAAGCAATTGAGCTTTGAGTTTGGTTTGTCATGGTGAAAGAAACAGAAGGAGGGACAGGGCATAAGCATACGCGACGTGGAATTTGAATAAGGCGATGGAAATCTGGGTTTATTGTAATTTCTCAATTAGGAGCGAGCCGGGGCCCAGTTGTATTATTACGAGGAAAATTTCCCTGACGGAGAAATCAAATTCGTTTCCGTGCAGAGTCGCCGTTCGTTACCGCCCGTAATGGCAATCGTGTCGGTAATGTCGCTCCCCATTTATCAGGGACACCTCATTTTTGAATAATGCCCCGTCAATTTTCGCTAATTACAGTAACAAAACAAAATGTCGGTCGCGAGTGATTTTTTTCAGCGATAGATCGCGTTCTTGGCATAATTCGGGCCCGGCCGCCATGTCATTAGAAATTCAAATTCGCGTCGGTCCGCTTGTAAATGCGCCGACGGCGGAAGGAAACCGACGCATGTTACGTTCCGGCGCCGGTGATTTAGACATGCCTACTTTGCATATTCGCGACCGGAACCCTTACCTATTATTAATAACCGCCCGTATTGATATTAAAAGCTGAAAAGGCGAATTCAACTTGTGTAAATGCAAATCGCCACAATCAAACATGTTTGCCTTGTTTCGCCCTTTCCATTCCAACCGCCTACTATGATTGAACGCCTACCTCTCGCTTGCGAGAGTACCCAAATTGGTTCTCGATATTAGCATTTATGTGTCGATATTAGCAACTCTCACCAATATTTTCGATGGCAAAAGCATCACTTTTATCCATTACAAATTTTCTTTATCCAGTGTGGAAAGTAATAACTTTCGCCACGCACGCTGACAGCTTGACTTTGCCACTGACTGTCAGCTGACTATTTTGACAACATTTTCAAAGTTTTTCTTCAAAACCTTATACTTTCCCGGCTAGTTTCCACGGAGGATCAAGAAAAATAGTATATTACGGTACGCGAGACGAAAGTCGAAGGCCCGCCACTGCGTACTTGACGCAACTTCAACTTCAAGCAGTGGCGGAACTTCGACTTTCGTCCGCGTCTAGTAATATACTATTTTATCTGACACTTAATCGTTTGCATGAAATATTTCTCTGTGTCCTTTTTAACTTTGAGACGTAAGCGTCATTTTGAAACTGCAATTTTTTGATTTTCCCCCGTATCTTTTAAGCTAGAAAAGTTCTCAAAATTTGAAGGTTGACTCAAAAAAGCGCATGACAGGTACACTGACGTACAAAATGAGTGCGCCATCTATACATTTCAAAGGAAAAAGATGAAAAACCCAACATACGTATTTTTCAAATTAATATAAAATATGGTTTAAAAAAAAATCAAGAAAACTCGAATTACTAGTTTGTCGAATTTTTGGGAAAAATTTACGAAAAATAAAAATTGAAATTCAGGTGAAGTTCCCGTCTTTAACCGTTTCAAGTTTTGTGATGAATTTTGTGTCATTCTGAAAGAAACGCGTTTTCCAGTTCCACCCAGTACTTAGAGAAGCGGCTAATAAGAGAACAGAATTCTTGCGACGTTGCCTTGCCACGTTATGTCAAATTTGAATTTGGATCCTCAAATTCTCCATACACCGTTTCTTTGCCATGCTATACAGGTGATTCTGTTTTTATGAGTTTTCTAATTAAAGTTTTTATGATTTACTAGAATGGCAGTATTATCATACATACTTTGTATGTATGACAATACTGCAATTCTAGTGGAATGTATCACAACATTACTGCTGGACGTTATTGTTATTTTGTGTGTATAATACATATAAAATTATTTTGTAGTTGTTATTTATTGTTTTCAAAAGTGTTCAAAAACCTGGTATTATTTACTGATTGATCATACAAGTTCATTATATGAGGTAAAAGAAAAATGCCGTGGACATACACTTATCTATGGTTTAATCTTAAAACTTGTTATGCGTTATTTGAACTGCGATTATAGCTTTTCGCAATACATTTCTTCTTATATAGTATATATGTTCTGAGATTAGTAATAGAGGGCTTATCCGAGTAATTTTTAGACAATTCTTTTTATTGCTTAGAACTGGTTTTAGCAATAATAAAATGGGGAGACTTCAATCTTCAATCTTTTTTCTAAAGTGAATTTATATAGTGAAGACTAAGATTAAGTGAGAGCGTTTTCCGGCTTTGCCTTTTTTTCTGCGTGGCAGTTGTTATTTTTCTCTAAAGGCAAGGGGCAATAAAAGAAAAGGAAACGGGCTCAACGACCCTAATGTAAAAAATTATTATTTAAACGTATTTACCTAAGCTTTTAAGAACATGTATTTTTTAGTTTCCGGTTTATATTGTTATTGAAAGTATAATTACAAACAGAACAAGAGACAAATTGGAATGACCGACATTAAGCGGTTTTACGCTAACAGCTGACCAAGATGTTTATTGAATTAGTTAGAAACTATTTTTAAAAATTATTCATTAAATATATTCATTTTTATAACATTAGTATAGGTAAGGACTTCAATGAATGTCAAACGCCTGCACCTACACACTTTCATGTACACCAAAGACGAAATATTGCTGAGAAAAAGTTGAGAAGAGTTAGTTTGGTAATCTGTGATCTTGTCTCTGACTACAAACGATAAATTGTGTAAGGCGGCTCCGTAAACGCAAGTTATCAGCCTCCTCGTTAAAAAAACAATACTGGTATAGGTAGATATTTTGAAATTGACTGCGCCTATTCAAAGGGTGGCAACGTCGCAAGGATTATGTTCTTCTATTAGCTGCTGCTGTACTTAGGAGCAGAATCTCGTTGAAAGTCGATGTAAGTTTGAGCTGATCTCAAACATGTTCGATCAGGTTCAGGTCAGGACTACGCGCTCGCCATAATTGACGCACAAACCGTTTGTACAAAACAATAAGCTTATTTTTATTATTGTTATATTAAAATTTCATAATTTAGACGGATATGACCCACACGGTATCAAAAACTTCTTTTGCAGGAGCAAATCTTTGACGAATTTAACTAAACCCTCTTAACTAAAACCGTAACGAGTTCTATCAATTTTCCTTGGACTCCAATCGAACGGTTTTTGTCATCTGATCTCACTTTCGCCTAAGGGCTAACACGAAGAGACTACAGGGTGATTTAAAATTGGCGTATTCCTTTTAAGGGTATATAAAACCCACTTAGAGTACGAGAAAAATATGGAAATTTTTTTTTTCGGAAATTTCAAGAATATATTAACAGTTGAAAATCGAATTTCAACTTTGTTATTAAGCATTATTTTGAAAAGGTCCCACTTTTAATTGATAGCCTATTGGAATACTTAAGCATTCGAAAAGAAAAACTACGGTCTTTTTGCCAAATTACTAAAAAAAATTATATTAAAAAAGTACTCTTCCACAATTTTTTGATGAAAAGTCAAAGCGGCAGTGATGTTTTTTGTCATTAACAGATATTTACAGGTAGACAGACTTTGTCAATAATAACAAACATTTGTCAAACTGTGGCTGATTTTGAAGCTTCTTTCACAAACTGTAAACCAACAGCGAATTTGCGAATATGCTATTAGTTATGGGATAATAGCCACAGTAACATGGCAGAAGTTGTAAGAACTTACACCATCAAAGAGCTACACACTAGACGAGTGGCCCGAAATGGGCGCAGATAGTGGACAATCTAAAGGTGCTCGATTTCCAGACCTAGAGGAACAAGTATTGGAGATTATTGCAGCTGAGCCTTCCAGGAGTACTTCAAGCATTGCACAACAACTGCACTTTCTCAAACACCGAACCCTTAATTGTCCCGATAATTCCCCCGAGGAAGAGCCTACATTCCTACCATGTATGTAATATGCACAGGACTCTAGAACACAATAAATCTCTGATCTTCCGACCACTGGTTCAAAGTGAACACCAGTTAATTAACCGAACACGAGAAGCTGTTCAAAATATGAGTCCAGACTCAAAGTGATTAGGACACAAAGGTGTTTGGAGTGAAACGGGCAGGACTTCTTGCTCTTGGGAACACATCTTGTGTTTTAACAAAACCTTTAACAGGTGGTTATGGATGACAGTTGTGACCTATTTGGGTATATCACTCATTTGCCCAAAAAAGATCGCAGCACTCGGGGGGCTGTCGCAGCGCTGACCGCAAGGTGGCCCCGTTATCCTAACCTCAACGCATGTTATTGTGTATTTTTTTTTTCGCTTCATGTTTATCCATGGCTACCGGAGTTTTCAATAATTACGAAGGAACAAGTATTTACGTAATGTTAATTAGACAGATTACCTTGAAAAACATTGTTGCCATCCTTCTGATCTAGTTTTTGGCAAATATCTGAGATAACATTTACTTTTTTTACTATTTTTTCTGTACTCCCAGGACCCCCAGACAACTCCTCCAGAGGAATTACGCCAATTTTGAATCACACTGTATACAACTCCCATAAAAACCAGTAACAGAGCCGAAATCACCACTGTCGACGAAACAAACGTTGCAGGCCAGCCTCACTCAGATATTCAGCAAACTACCGGTTCTTTGCCCCACCTATTTAGAAGCCCCATCAAAGTCGAATTATCGCACTCTTAATTTCAAGTTGGCGTTTTTCAGATCATAAAACCGCCTCTCGTGTTTCGGTGCCACACTCCGGATTGCTTAATCGGCGATTTGAAGCAAACCCACCCTTAATTAGCCCCCCAACCTCAATTTCGCCTGTAAAATGCGCAATTTTATGTCGATTAAGATGATTTGAGGGCGACTTACCTGAACTCGCTAAACGACTGCTGGTCGGTCCGAACATTTGATATGGATCTGGAAAAGAGATTTGGGAACATTAAGTCAAATGGTGGATTTGCGTTTTTTTTGCAAAATTATGAGTATTTTCGGCTTTTAAACAGGGGGCCGGTGGTCAGCAATCACGGCCCATGTTGATCGTACCGAAGGGCTTCGTTTGCACGTTGCCATTAATTAATTGAAACCCTTTAGGGCGGTTTCGTTGGCTTGCCATGATTTCCAAGTCTGAAAAAAATCCCATTTTAATCGAGGTCAGAGGCGTGCGTGTCACCCTTCCATATTCAGGACACGAACCATCTCGCTGACCGGACGGCGCTAATTCAACGGTTTTATCTTTTTTTCGATGTGACGTTAGATAAGCGACGTTTGCCGTGATTCACTGTTAAAAGTCCGAAACGTCCCCCCCTATTGTTTCCCTTAGTGTGAAACTCACTTGGCTTTTTAAGATCAAGGGGGTCGATTTGCTTTTCAAACAACGCATGTGAAATCAGGTTTCTGGACAGTCAATTGTTCGGTGGAGTGAGAGGGCTCAGATAAATCGGGTTGATTTTCTCGCCTTTGATTGAACAAAATCATGCACTGATTTGGAAAAGTATAGGTTGTATCGGACCGGTTTTAGACTCATTAGTTTTCAACCCCAACCCGTTGAGAAACTGTTAACTTTCTAGTGACCAATTTTCTTCTTGGCCATGGTCAAAAAAGGTGTAAGTACTTTTTCAACGCATTTTTGACTGCCAATCAGTCAATCATCTTTAAACAAAATCAATTGGAATAACTGCATACAAATCCGACGGTTTAGCAAATCGCACAAAACAAAACTGAATCGTCTTCGGTAAACCATCATCATCTAGTCAGCGACGCTATTCAATCCAGCCCCCTTACAAGCTGGAAAAGTCTTCGGGGGTAATGCGGCAATCATCGACTCGGTGCGGAGTAATAATCAGGTAATTATTGTATTGGGCTTTGATCGTCGCACTATTATGCCCTCCTAAGGGACGGGAAGAGCCCCTCAGGGCCAAATTATTGCGCCCTATGAGGTCCCGTATGTCGAAACGCAATGAGCAGTTGGTTGCCAGATTTGATTTGTGGATTGATTGTTTTCATTAAATGGCAGGATTTATAAATTGAAAATGTTGGAGAAAGTTGGCCGGAGATAAAAATGTCGAGCTAAAGTTCGGAGACTGAAAAACGGGCAATAATTTAAGTTTTTCTTTGTGCCGCCCCCAATGGCCTTGTTACGCACTGCCGCCCCCGATACACCGGGCGCAGTCTTGCGGATCATTTCCACTTCGTCAAAGATATCTTTCCTTGTAATCGCACGCCGAACATGTTGTGGGGAAAAGTTGCCGAGTTTTTGGGGAAATCGCGTTTTGTCTCACTCCCAGGACTGCGAACTTCACGCCAACGAGAAATACATAACTTCGATTTATTCGAATCTTTCTTGTCGGTTTTCGTTCTTAACTTTCGCTCAGTAACCGATGAAATTTTCTTCGGGTTGCATGTTTCTATCAAAAAATACATTGCGTTAGTCGCTCCCTTTTCGAGCCCCATCGGCCCATGTGTTCCATCAGCGAAACGCTTTCTTTGGTAATTTTAGCCAATTTTATACGAGTTTAGGGCGCGTCACGCAATACAGAACTATATATGTTTATGGAAATTTTCATTGTTGTTTAACCAAGAGCGTAACGGAACGGCTGTAGTCAGTCACTAGCCTGCAAAGCGACAATAAAAAACCCACTATCGATCCTGCACTTTTCGACATTTACCTGCACACCCTGTATAGAAAGTAGCTTGCAGTTGATGTCGGTTTTTTTTGCGGTTGTCTGTAAACCGCAGTTTTTGAGCAAGCGAAGGTAATGGAGAATTTACAGCACCAGTCTCAAAATGTAAACGCACTCAAAAGAAACTCCTTTCAACATCGACCTAGAGCCCGAAAAACTAACCAGGTTCAAACAACGGCCGGAAAAGACTTTTTGATCAATCGTTTACGGAAACTGGCGAGTTTTTCATGTTGTCAGGTCGTCCTAGAAAAAAATGTTGTCCCGACGTTTCGCAAGCACCAGTACTGTGCATCTTCAGAGTTGTGAAAACCACCGCTCTGGAGATGTAAGCCAGGAAGAAATTAATTTCCACAACTGTCTAAAAGCAGAGATTAGTAGATCTACTAATCGCCTTAAATACTTAATCAATTCTGTCAACCTTTCCTTACAAATTTTTTATCATTTTATGTTGTGGAGCTGTCATTAATGAACCGTTAAAAAGGCGCTAAAG